TTGCGGCGGGCCCGCCGCACCCACACCCAGTAGAGTCCGGCCATGAGGGCCCAGTAGGCAATGTAGACCCCAGCCCCTACTACTAGGTAGGCTTTCTCAGCCTGCTTGGCCTCACCACTCCAGTCAGACCGGGCCTCGGCAGCGGCTGTGTAAAGCAGCCCCCCCAGCAGCAGCAGGCCCCAGATGCCGAGAGGCAGCAACGGGAGGTAGTTACCCACCATGCGGCGCCGCCCGGATGTGCCCCAGGCGCTTTGGTTCATGGTGGCCATGGCCAAGTACTTGGCTGGTAGTAGGCCACCCATGTACAGCACGGCATAGACAGACATGAGCAGCATGACAGGGTGGCCGCGCAGGCTGGCAGCGTACAGTGCCTTGAGCACGGCTACCAGCTGCACGCACAGCAGCACCCACAGCACGTCCCAGAGGCTCCCCCCGTAGAAGAGCCGCAGTAACGTGGCTGTGACGGAGAAAGGGAAGGCGCCGGCCACCACTGCCTCGTAGGCCATCCAGGGGTGGTGCCGGTGCCACCACAGCGCGTTGTACAGCCACTCCCGGAAGTAGGACTTGGTCCAGCGCGTCTGCTGCGTCAGCCACCGCAGGAACCCAGCTGGTGTCTCCGAGTAGCAGCGGGAACGGGCTGTGTACCTGTTGGGTGACGGTGGGGGGTGGGGGGTTGAGCAGGGGACCCAGGCATCTGGAAGCCCGGCCCCCCACTTCCATTCTAACTCCCAGTGCTGCAGGGAGGGGACCCAGGACTCTGCGAGCTTAGCTTCCACCTCCAAGATAATCCATAGGAGACAAAAGGGGGAAACCAGGTGTCTGGGAGCTTGGCTTCCATCTCCAAGATAAGCTACAGGGGACTTAGGAGTCTGGGAGCCTGGCCCCCACCTTCAAAGATAACCCATAGGAGGCAAGAGGAGGAATCAAGGCATCTGGGACCCTGACCCCTGTCTCTGTTCTAGCCAACGACATGGCTGAGAAAGTGGAAAGGGACCCTGGTGTCTGGGAGTCTAACCCCTACCTCTGTTCTAACTCCTGGCACTGTTTGGAGAGAGGAAAGGGACCCAGGAGTTTGGGGGTTTGGCCCCCACCTCCAAGATAATCCAGAGGAAACAAGAGGGGACCCAGGAGTCCGGGAGCTTGGCCTCCACATTCAAAGATAACTCACAGGAGACAAGAGGGGAAACCCAGGAGTCCGGGACCCTGGCTCCCATCTCCCTTTTAGCTCATGGCATGGCTCAGGGAAAGGACAAGGACCTGGCCCTTGCCTCCAAAGATAACCTACAGGAGACAAGAGGAGACCCAGGAGTCCAGAAATGTGGCCCCCAGGTCCAAGATAACCCATGGTGCTCTCTGAAGGAAGGGAAGGAACCCAGTCATCCGGGAGCTCAGCCCCATCCCTCAGTGCCATTCTAACCCACTGGATTTGCACTGCCTAGGAGAGGAGGAAAGAAGCCAGGCATCCGAGCTGCCTCTTCTAATCCCCACACATCTGGGTCTCTGTGGTCCCTTCTTTGACCACCCAGCCCACCCCCCTCCCCGCCCAGAGCTGGACGGGACCCAGGCATCCAGCTCACTTGGTGGCGTAGCCGATGCTGAGCATGCGGTTGGTGAGGTGCCGGTCATCCCCAAAGGTACAGTGGGTGCCCAGGAACTTCTGGTTGTACCATGACTCCAGGAACTGCTGCAGCAGGTTGTTGCGGTACAGGCCTGTGGAGGGGGAGTGGGGTGCGGGGGTCAGAGAACCCAGCCGTCCAGGATCCCAGACCCCACTCCTGAACCTCTATGCCCTGCCCAGAGCTGGAGAGAACCCAGGTGTTTGGGCCACCAACACTTTCCCCCAGACCTCCACTCCCTCTCCAAGGCTGGAGAGGGGGACCCTGAGGGTCAGAGAACCCAGGTGTCCAGGGTCCCAGACCTCCCCCTGGACCTCCATGCCCTGCCCAAAGCTGGCAAGAACACAGGCATCCAGGGTCCCAGGCTCCCCATAGCCCACTCCCAGAGAGAACCCAGGTGTCCAGAGTCCTGGCTTCCTGGGATCCCACTCCCAAGTACAGAACCCAGGAGTCCTGGCTCCCACCCTCCCCATAACCCAGGTGTCTGGGCCCCCAATTCCCCATTCTTCCCCACTAGACATCCCTATTCAGCAGCTACAGATAGAACCCAGGTGTCCTGGCTCCCCCTGCTCTAACCCTCTCCCTCTTCTCCACCTGTGTGAGGGAGAAGGGACCAAGGCATCTAGGGCTCACCAAGGGGCCCGCTGATGCAGGAGACGCAGTCAAAGTAGGACTGGCAGGCCCGCTCGATGTTGAAGGCCATCCAGTATCTCAGGCTGCTCATGAAGCTGATGAAGGAGTCACTGACGTTGAGGATCCGCACGTCGCCTCCAACTGCCCCATAACGTTCGTTGGACTCCAGCACCTTCACCAGTTCCACCGTGGCCGCTGGGTCCAGCTTGGTGTCCGAGTCGCAAACCTGGGGGCGGCCACCGGGGGTATCAGGGACTAGAGCAGCATGGCTGGGGGCTGCAGTGGCCAATGAGGACCACTAGGGGGCATCAGGCTGGTTGTGGCCAACAAAGACCACCAGGGGGTGCCAGGCAGGCATTGGCCCATCTAGGGCTGCAGTGGCCAACAAAGAAGATGAGGGGGTGCCAGGCAGGCATTGATTGGCTCATCTGGGGGCTGCAGTGGACAATGGGGACTGCTAGGGGGCCTGTAACACACTGCAAGACCACTGGGGATCACAGCTGGAGCCGAGTGGCCTAAATGGAGCTGCAACAGCCAGTGAGGACCACTAGGGGGTGCCAGACATCCATCAGCTCAATAAGGCCTGCGTTGACCAACGCCAGCCACCAGAGGGCAACAGGCCATAGAGGAAGCCTGCTGGGGCTGCAGTGGCCAACAGAGATCAGTAGGGGGCAGCAGACAGGCTAGGGGGTATTGTCTGCCCTCCTCCCTCATTGCTGTTCTGGGGGCAGGGCAGGGTGGAGGTTGGCACTGGGAGGTGCTGTGCTGGGGGCAGCAAGGCAGGGGTCTCTGGCTGGGCCCAGGGGTGGGGATACCCGGGCATCGATACCCTAGAAATGATGGATGGACATAGAGATGGATGCATGGAGATGGAGATGGAGATGGAGAGTATCAGGGATGGATAGATGGAAACTGAAAGATAGAAAAGGTGTAGGCATGGGTGGAGGGACGGACGGATGGATGGATGGATGGTGGGGCTCTCCTTGCATGGAGGAAGGTATATAGGGCTAGAGGGAGGGAGGGAGGGAAGGATAGAAGAGATGTAGATGGGGGATGGAGGGGGCTTTCCCTGGATACTTGGAGGGATGGACAGATGGATAGACAGCTGAGGGGTATATGGATAGAGGGATAGATCAGTGGATGGATGAAAGGATGGATGGATGTGTAGGTAATTGGGTGGGTGGAGGGATGGATAGCAGATGCCCAGACAGAAGGGCAGTCGCTCCGGGGCGGAAGTGGGGCCTACCTGGACGTAGTCCACGGCATCGCCCAGCGCCCGGAAGGCCGTGTACATGACCTCGCGCTTCCCCCCCCAGCGCTGCATGATGCAGACACAGCGCCGGGTGTGCACCAGCTCCTCCACCACCAGCCGTCCTGGGTCCTCCATCTCCACCTCCGCGTAGGCTGCCGGCGGTCCCCCACCCAGCTCCTCCACGTCAGCTGAGGGCATCTCCATGGTGACGGGGCCGCCGCCTGCCGCCATCTTGGCGCAAGCCGAGGGCCTTTCCGTGGCGACGGGGCCTGCACGCATCTCCACCTTGGTGTAGGCTGAGGGCGTCCCTGGGCCCGTCTCCGTGTAGGCCGTCTCCACGGCAATGCGACCTACTCCATCCACCATCTTGGTGGAGCCTGTTGCCATCTCCGTAGTAACAGGCCTTTCATCTTCCACCTTGCTGCTGTAGGTGAACGGTGTCTCCATGGTGATGCGGTCTCTGCCTTCTGCCATCTTGGTGTAGCCCCGTGGCGTCTCCGTAGCAACGGGCCCTTCACCTTCCACCATACTGGTGTAGGCCAACGGTGCCTCCATGCCGACAGGGCCTCTGCCCTCCGCCATCTTGGTCTCCATAGTATTCAAGCCTTCCCCGCCCGCCGTCGTGGTGTAGGCCGACGGCGTCTCCCCAGCGCTGAGGCTTCTGCCCTCTGCCATCTTGGCGACGGCCGGGTGGTGATAGTTGCCCTCCCACACGTAAGTGCCCACGTCCTCGCCGGCGAAGACCTCGGCAAACATGTCCAGCATGTAGCGGTCGTCAGGGCTGTTGCCGTCGATGACCAGGATAACGCGGAGCTTGTCGGGCGGGTAGTGCAGGGCCCGCACCGACTCCAGGCACTGGCGCAGGTAGGCCGGGTCCTCCTGGTAGGCCGAGATGGTGAGGGCCACAGTGCGGGTGTAGGAGCAGGCGGCACCGGCTCCTGCCCGCATGCGGCGGTGCTCACGCCAGGCGAAGGCGCTCTGCGTCACCAGGTGGGCAGCCAACAGGACGCCGTAGAGCCCGAAGGCCATGACGTGGTAGCGGTCGGCCGCCAGCTGCAGGCCCGTCACGTAGGCCCAGGCCAGGACCCCCAGCACCAGCAGCGCGAAGGCCACGGTCAGCACCCGGCGCCAGGCTGACGCCGCCAGCTTGGGCACCTTGGCCGCGTCCATGGCTGGGGAGGGAGTGGGGGGGAGGGGCGGAGAGAGAGGGACGGGGTGAGATGGGGGTGGGAGGGAGGACCCAGGTGTCGGGGCTCCCAGACTCCCCCCGACCCACCCGCGGCCGGAGGGACAGCAGCGCGGGGCTCCCCGGTCCCCCTGTCC